ATTATCAGTAAATAGTTCTATATTGCAAGTACCATTTCTTTTTCACCGCAGTTAGAAGAAGTCTATAGAATAAGTCCTATCAGTATTAAAAAGTCCTGCAAATATACTTCCACATCGGTTTCAGTTAACTTTTTACGACTCCCTTTCGAAGATCAAGGAAAAAAAACTATAAATATGGGCGTAACTTGAAACTCTTGATTAAATTATTGGTTGTGCTAAAGTCTGCATCCTACAATTTAACACAAAAAAATTAAAAAATATTTTTAATATTGCAAATAATAAGCATTCTAATTGTTAAATCCACTTTACTAAAAGACCTTCATTTGTCTCTTATTATGATTTTCCGAACTCTGTTGAAATAATTGGCGCTTAAAGTTAATTGCATATTAATAAAACCTTAAAATTTTCAGCAAAAAGTAAAAAAATTTGCGTGCAAGATTACTGTCTATACCGATATTAACTGTATGCAAGCAACGGTTGTTGGGAAGTTTAATTTGGCACAGCGTCTTACCAGCTCCTGCTAGATTTAAAATAAGAAAAATAACTTTTTTACTTGAATTTAGTGGCTATATTCGAGTTGTTAACACATGTAAGCTTGAACCTGCAACATCATTATTTATAAATTTCTTTAAGAATTGTTATTCCAAATCACTTATAAACGAATTTTATCTATACGAAAATGGCCCAGGTAAGTATAAGTTGTGTTTTAGTAAAGCTTTTGAAGTTGAAGTAATGCATAACTTTGCTGGTCTTGACCGGCAAATCTGCCAAATATTTTTTTAAATGAATGCTAAAGGTTAGCAAAAGTTGTATACGACAGAAGACCTGAGTTGCCATTGTAGCTTTAGTGGTTAGAGCGTCGTCGTGCATTCTCTCGAGGTCGTGGATCCGATTCCCGTCGGTGCCAACCGCATTTTTCTGGTCTTGTGACCCCGTGTACAACTTCTCTGAACAAGAATCCGATCGGATATGCCGCCGTATCCATAACAATTTAAATGGTTTCGTGATCTTTATTTTTAGTTTTTTTAAACAAGGGCGTTAAATATCCCAAACTTTTTATCATTTATTTGTATATTCTTCTTTCGAAGGCGTGCCTTTTCAAGATGACTTAATGTCTGAAACCATATTTTGGTTGTGTGTAGGTATGCGAGAGTCAGATGTAGTTCTGAGCATCTTATACACTGTTTTTCTTATAAGGCTATGATCGAGGCCCATGAAAACTGGTTGTAGCTAATTAAGTGTATTACGTGTATTGGTCATTATTCTTGTCTAATGAGTTTACAGCTTCTGGCATAACACCTTTAGGTAGCTGTAACTCAAGCAGTTTGTTTATAGTGTAAATAGCGGTTCGGTGATAGCACATTATATATTGTATTGCTGCCCAGTCCTAAAGGGTCATGGTTAGAATTTTAAGAATAGGTGTCAGCTTAGATAACGCAGAGATTTCATTCTCTTATCGTTGCATAACGGTTTAATTATTCTCCTTAATATTTAAGGCGAGTAGCGTAATGTTGAATAGCTCGCCGGCTTCCTTTTTTTGGAGGCATAGTTCTTCCAATTTTTGGGCATAAGTTAACGAGGTTCAGTTTAAAGTGCATCACAAACAGTCTAAATGGCGAGCTTCGGGCAACGGAGAGATTCTTATATTTAAAAGGGGAATTAATGATAAAAAATTGTTTCCATTTGAGCCACTGAAAAAACATTTATAAAGATTAAAATATCTGCCGGGACTAATAAGAAAGACAATGCCTCTCCACCATCTTGAAAATAAAATAAAATTTTCGTGACGGTCATATTATAAAGTCGATTGAAAAGTTTAAGTTATATAATTAGATAAGAATTAACTTGTATTGAAGCGAAAAACCCGAGAAAAATTGTTAAATTTTTAACTTCTTTAAAGCACTAATTACCGAAATTTATTGTTTTATTTGTTCCTTGGTGCAATATTAGTTTAACAAACATAATAAATGAAAGTAGACCTCTTTATAACTTAATTTCTTTTATAGGAAGAGCAACTCAAAGAGCAAGCGCGCCATCAACGTTTCTTGGCTAGTAAGTGGGCTCATCTATCAACAATCCGGCTTAGAAAGATTTGTGAAAATTGCATTGGGTAGTAGTCATAGTTGGTATCCTAAATAAAAATAAGCAAGGAAGTTAATGCTGGTAAGTAATAAGCGCGAGCATCAAACGCGTACGTCGTGAACGGCTTAATACACGACACCTACAAGCGCCGTTTGCTATGCAACGAGAGTCTGCTAACATTGAGTTGCCGGTTAAGCCTTTGCCATTACGAGCGCCTTGGCAGTTTATTGTCGATATTAGTGGCTCCACCGAATAACCGACTCGTCAAAAACGCCACTCTTCATCGCGAACAGTCAGTTCTTTAGAGGCTAGCACAATTAAGCGGGCAACTCTGTCGGCGAGCAAAGAACTGTATTGTTATTGGGACAAAAGTCATCTGCTATGAGAAAAAATGTCGAACTGAGGCACCTCGCGCACAAAGGCACAAAGAGCAGGTAGAAAAGAATGAAAGGAGAGATAACAACCGTTCTTGTAATTTCAAGGGTGACTGTGCATGGCTTCTGAATAGTTAAAATTGGAGCACTTCACGCAGGGTATGAGGAAAATCTACCTATAATGGGCTTTCTAAAGAACAAAACCTTGTGCCAAACTAAATATAAGTTGAAGTTTGCAAAAAGATGTAAAGCACGATGGTGTCTTTAGGCTATGAGCGTACAATTAAGAAATTCACAGTATCTAGGACACTACTACAGGTGAGCTCTCAAAAAACGTACATTGCATTGCGTTAAAAAATTAAATTTGTGTAGGGTGCCAACCTCATGGTAAACGGAAAGCTAGCGGTGTCATAACGTATGTAGTCAGCAGAATTTTATTATACTGTCTTAAAATAAAGCTTACCTATATGAGTAGCCCGCTCCCGCTCCTTTTCAAAATGAGTTATGAAAAGGAGACACTGACATCGACTGTTTCCTTTAAAAGCTACTCTAAGACGTTTCGTCAAAACCTTTTTTAGGACACTCTACCTCTTCCCTTTCCCAACACATCAGTTAACGCCCGATATATAGCTAAGGGCTTCTCTGTCAGTGTCGCTGCCTCATCTCCGAGGCCATGGCGTCTCAGAATGTCGAAGCAAACTAGCGGGAAAGGACCTTAGCTCTCTCTGTCGGGCAAGGGGGTGGTGCTTCTTGCTATAAACATATTTAGTGGTTTAAAACTTGAACTCTGTCATTTCCTAACCGCAGCTTTGTAGCCAGGATGAACGTTAAAAGGTGACACTTTCCACCGACCCTCTTGCTGTCTTCACATGAATCATTTATCCCTGATTGACTATAAGACCCTACTTTTAGTCGAGTTTCTACCTGGTTAATGGCAAAATACCTTTCGAGCTGACCTCCATTCATGAGTTTTAAAGCGAATGACATGACCGGCGAATGGATAGGCTGCCTCGTTTTTCACCCTTTAGCACTTTTTTGACAAATAGCAGCCTAGTAGCTTTCTGTTAACTCTCGGCACTCTACTGCATTGCGTAAAAAATAAGCGGTCGTTAACGCAATGTCCAGCCGAGTTTGGCATGAAGGCTTACTTTGCAAACTGCGTGCTTTAGCTACCCCGCGTAGCTTTTAGATGTTATTTAGCATATTTGAACGTCCACGCACAGTCAAGCCTAAAACCTATAAGAGCTTAAGTTCCGCAGAGGTTCCCCGCTTCCTCACAACTTTAGCTTTTGCTTTGACTCTTGTTGCACCAGCCGATTAATGTCGTCTTATCTGTCCCTTTTTGTTACTAAGAAGGTGCACTGCAGCACGGGGTGCTACCGTGGACGAGGAGGTAGTGAAGCTCAACGCCGGTAGCTTTGCTACTCTTATTAACTATAGTGTCTTCATATAAGAGCGACAAAACTAACTACTAAGCGTAATGACGGGCACGCCATGGTTTGTGCAAAATACCGCACTTCATCAAAACTTATAGTTAAAGACATTGAGTAGCGTCTTCGGCGCAATGTCATCGCTATATACAAACAGCTAACGGGAGCTCAGTAATCGCTTAGGCAAAAATATAATTTTAGTTTTTAAAGAAAGGATAAATGCGTACGAAGTCCAGATAATATATCTCAACTATCCATTATTCGGGCATCAGAAAAGTTAACTATTAAATAACATAAACTTTAACTTTACACTCATTGGTAAACTTTCTAGCGAAAAATTTATAATAGATGTCTTCATCTAACTTTGATTTAAAAAAAATATATATTATGAAAAACCTTCCTTACAGTAACGTCTAGAGAAATAACTCAGGAACTAATAATAGCTGTTTGTAAAAATAGTCTGCGGACAACCAGAATTAAATAAATTTCGGTTAAAGGTTTATACTCATTCCCTTGTTTAAAACTATTGTATATACGGAAGGTTTATCACCTTTATAGGAGATAATAAAGATTATGGTCCGAAGCGGGTTAACTAAATTAGAATGTTCTGGTTAACAGAATTACGCTTCAATTATTATTTATCTGTCGTATATACAGAGAGCATATCGCTTTATACGTGTGTATAAATATTATTGACCGAATAACTTCTTTTAAAAACATAAATCTAAAACTTATTTATCTCCAAGAGCCATTTAACTTTTTAACGTGGTGAAAATTTAACAGTAACAAAATAACTTGCTGCAGAATTTAAATATACCGTAAAACTATACCTTTACTAAAAAAAACATCTAAAAAAATAAATTCTATAAGTATTAAACAATTTAGGTTATAATTTTGTTCTAAAGTACAAAAGTTTTCATAGTGCACCCACTTCATTAGTTTTATACTTTATAAATATACTTTTGAAGGTCGTTGAACAGTAATTATGTAAGAAAACTTTGGCAAAAAAGTTCGTTTTCTTACTAGAATTAAGTTAATGCTCACATTAATTCAACGCCTCCGTCACAACTACAATATCTTTTTACTAATTTTTCGTTCCAAAAAAAGAGCACGCTTCAATCACAAACCAAACATCTTTTATTTGCACACCAGAAAGATTCTTTTAATGCTCAAGTAAAACAATCTCCTCAAAAAGCACATGACTAATTCTGTTAAAGAAGCTTCTATACAAGTTCATTGAACAGTCAGCTTAGAAAAGTGCTCATAGGGGAGCCATATTTCCGTGTCTTTATTGATTCCTTTGTCGATCCTAATCAACGCAGTGAACGTCTCCGAGTTGATGGCTACAAGGGCACCCGTCGCGCCTGCAAACGCGGTGTTCACTATTAATACCTTTTTATATAGTAACCAATACAAACTGAAGGTTTTCTTAATTAATAAAGAAGAGACCTTTCCACCAATCCGAGGAATGACCGTCTCAAGGTCGTCTTGATCGAGCCGCAGTAAATCACCCGAGTCGAGCATCCTGACTTCTCCAATAAATTTCTCGTGAACTTTGAGCACGACACCCTGTGATAGGCACCAATTATTATTTATGGTACAAAACAAATTTAGGTAAACAGGACTTTGTGCTTATAGTACTTCCCGTTTTCCAGCTCGGCATGCATAACCTTCACTACAATATCTGGAAAGAGCCAGTTCTCACGTGTTACTCTGAGACGCTTTTTGATTTCGGTTTCCCGTAGCTCCTCAAGAGGATCTTTAGGGGCTTTTTTAAGTAGCTTACTGGTTTCCGCTCTGCAAGGCATACAAGGGAGTAAAAATAATGCGAAAAAGGCAAAAAAAAGTGACCACGGCTTAGACGATTCATGCGCTGGTTTAATAGACTGAAGAGCATTCGATTGGACGACTGAAGTCGTCGATTTTAAGTTGACCTATTAAAATTAAAAATTAAAGAAGCAGCCCAATCGCCCCCAGCCAGTAATAAAAATCAAACTTAAAAAATGTATATAAAAAATTTTTCCTTTTTTTTTTTAAACTCGCGTATATATTTTGTTTAGGTTTAAATATTCTTTTCTATACTCTCTACTTTTGTTAATGATTTGTAAAATTTTATAAACAAAAAAGTTTCTCAGTATAATTTTTTCAAGTATTAGAGATAAAAAACTTTTAATAAAATCTTCGGATCGTCGCTGCTTCTTTTAAATTCGTTCTTGGCGGGCCCCAAAGCATCTAAGTTTGACGTCATTTTCGAGTTAGCCTATTGGATAAAAAAAGTTCAATAAAATAAAGAATCTGTAAAAAAAATACTCAACACCAATTCTATTTGCGCTTGTATAAGTTTCTGAGTTATTTCTTCATCGTAATAATTCATTCTTTCTTTTTTTTCAAGTTCCTAATATATTAAGAATATAAAAATAATAATAGCTCAATAAAATATTTTTACTTATAAATATTCACCCTCATTCTTTCCAGCGCACGCGGAGACCGATCAATATACTGGATATAAACTCCTAGACATTATTGCAAATAAGCAAAACGTGCGAAAAAAAAAAGAAAAAAAAGTGGCACTTTTTAATACGAAGATAAGGGTTTAATAATAGGTAACTTTATAAAAAATTTAAAAGAAACAAAAAAGTATAAAAATATGAAAAAGCCAATAAAAATTCAACTTTAAGATATTAAGCCATTCATAAACAAGTAATTGATGCTGAAGGTCAAGTATAAGAAAAAACTAGAGCAATTATACCAATCAAAATTAAACTTTCATACATTAAGCCTATCATAAAAAGAAGAGCTGAGAGTGGTATCAAAAAAAGAAAGCAGTTAGCCCAATCAAAATTAGGCTTTCATGGAAATGGTCCAATCAAATATAATATCAAACAAATATAAACAAAACGAAAAACTGCACAAAGTAATTTTTTTCAAGTTAAAAAAAATAATAAAAACACAAAAAAAACTACACTTGGAAAATAAATTAAAAAAAATAATAAAAATGAAACGGAAAACTACACAAACTTAACTTCTTTAAAAAAAATATTAATATATATATAATTAAAAAATTAAACCGAATAAGTGCGCTTACAAAAAAGTTTTTTTATTAGAAATATTTAAGAAGAAATATTAATAACAAACAAAAAATAAAAGAAATAAAAGTAAAAAAAAAATTAGAATAAAAAAGATTTCTAAAAGAAATTACTCTAAATAGATAAATAATAAAAATTATACAAATCTTATAATTAAAAAGATTGCTAAAAAAACTAACATAAAAATATATAAATAATAGAACAACAAAAAAATTTCTAAAAACCATTAAGATGTAAAAATTATAAATAAATAATAATATAACAATAAAATTATACATGTTTATAGATAAAAAAAGATTTCTATATTACTATTAATATTAAAATATAATAAATATATATTATTAAAACAAAAATTATATAAATTTAAAAATAAAGGAGGTTTCTACACAAAAATTAAAAATAAATATTAATAAACAAAAATTATACAAATTTATAAATAATAAAAAATTTCTAAAAGTAATTAATACAAAAAAATTATAGATAAATATAAATGAAACAAAAAATTTTATAAATTTTTAAATAAAAATTTCTAAAAAGATTAATATAATTTAAATATTACACAAACAACAAAAAAATATAACAGAAAAGTTAAAAAAATCCATATTAAAAAAAGGTATCATAATAAAAATTGATAGTTATTAATAAGAAGCCTTGCTCAGCATGCTCAACTCTAGCCATCCCTTCTTCGCCGAGATAATTGCAAAACTCAGTAAGTGTAGTCCTTAGAAAATTAGGTAATATATAGTATAATATAATAGGAAAATTTAGAAAAATATTAATATATTACAATAATAAGAAAGTAAAAAATACAAATAAATATATATAATATAGTATAACCAATAAATAGAAAAATATATAATAATAGTAATAATTAAAAAAAATACATATATATAGTATTAACTGGTATAAAAATATAAAAAATATAAGTCATAATAATAATAAATAGCAAAAAATAGAAAAATAAAAAAAGTATAATATGTACGATTTAAAAAAAATTTATTAAAAATATTATAATCTTAAGTAAAAAAAAAATAATATATTATATCGATAAAAGTAAACTATAAATAAATAAAAAAGTTATGAACATAAATATAAATAATAAAGTAAAAAAAGATTATAATTAACCAATTTATAGAAATCTAATGATAATAATAATAAAGTAAAAATAAATAATATATAATAAATATAATAAAAATATGTAATTAAATTATAAATAATAAATTAAAATTTTTTTTTATTAAAAAATTAAAATTATAATAATAAGAAGAAAAAAAAGAAAAGAATATATAATATACAATAATATATAATAAATTATATTTTAAAATAATAATAATAATAAAAAGAAAAAGTAAAAAACAATAATACACAATAAATTATAATTTAACAACTTAAAATAAAGTTTATCAAAATATAAATAATAATAATAATAATAATAAGGAAATCTAAAATACTTCAAGACAAACTTTTTCCCTTAACATATAATAAAGTAAAATAAAAACTTGAATAATAAATGTAGTATAAAAAAGGGAAAAGTACTGAAAATTCCAAAAAAAACCAGAAGAATTTTTTAATCTATATATAAAAATATTGAAATAATAATAAGAGTTTTGAAAAATAAAAAAATTATATAATAAAAATAGAGTTGATAAAAATATAAATATTATTAAAAATTAATAAGAAAGTTAGAAAATATAAAAATATAAAAAAACAAATTTAACTAAAATAAAATTTAATGTAAAAAAAAGAAAAAAGACTAATTATTTTAAAAAAATTAAAAAAATATATTAAAAAATATAATAAATAATAACTGAATTCCAAATAAACAAATAAAAATTACAAAAAAGTTAATAAAACAAACATAAAAATATATAAACTTATAATAATAATACAGTAATATATAAATATTTATACTAACATATTTGTAACAATCTAAAATAAGATTTATATATAAAATTAAAAAAAATAACTTTTTTTATACAACTCCCTAAATAAATATAAAATAAAACTAGTATCAAAAATAAAAAAAAGAAAGAAATATGTATATAGATACTTTATAATAGAATAATTTAAAAAAATTTAAAAAAACTAGAAAAACTTTTGGTAATAATAATAAAAATAAATAAGTAGTTAACCAAAATAAAAATTAATATAAAATTATTAACTTTTGATAGTAATAAAAATAAAAGTAAAAAGAAAAAGTTGTAAAAAAAAATTATAATTGATCCAAATTAAATATAATTTTCAAAAATAAAAACATAAATACATAAAAAATATTATAAAGAAAAGTAATATACAAATAAGAATCTAAAAAAATTAAAATATTAAAAATTTTTGTCTTATAGATTCATTAAGCATAATAATTATTATATATAGAAGTTAAAAAAAAATTATATAAAAAGTCAAATTAAATAAATTTCAATTTAAATGCAAAACTAGAAAAAAGTATATAATATTTTAAAAAATAAAAGTAACTCAAAAAATAATAAAATATATAGTATAAAAAAGTATAAAAATTACATGTGTAACTTAATAAAATTAAGTTTTAATTAATTCTTGCACAAATATATAAATCAAAAATTATGTCAAAGCAAAATATTCGATGCCAAAAAAATTATAAAATAATACATTCAGTATAAAAATGTAATGATAAAAAGTTACTAAAGACAATTGTTTTGTATAAAAGATAATTCAATTATAAGAAAAATATACAAAATAAATATTGTACGTACCAAAAATAAAACTAAATTTAAATCAGGAATCAATAACGAATTTTTTTTTAATTTTTAATTTGTGTAAACAAACATTAATTTGCTAAATTTATTATATAAATTGCATAAAAACTTAATAAAAACAAATTTATATATAATAAAACTAAAATAAATATTAAACTTTTTTTGAACATAAAATAGTAAGTAATTAGAAAAATTAAAAGCTTTAAAATAATAAATTTAGATTAAAATTCTTTTCTATAAGATTAACAATAATATAAATAATTTTTCCAATACAAAAATGCATAAAAAAATAAAGTTGATTTCTAGAACGCTTTAAAAACACACTGATTAAACTTAATAAACTAAATAAAGCACTCATAAGAATTAAAAAAAAAATTTAAAATTAATTTAAAATAGTTATCTTCATAATAAACTTTAATAGCAAAAAATAAAATTAAAACTAAGTTTAACGAATTTTAAAAAGTATATATAAATCAAAAATAAATAAAACACCTAAGGAAAAGCGAAATCAAAATATTATAAATAAAAAAAATTTTATGTAAGTAAATACTATTAATCATAAATATTAAAATAAAAAAATTAGCAACTAAAAAATTCAAAATAATCTTAAACAAAATCATTAAAAATTTTACTTAAAAATAATTTTATTACTGAAAAATTTAATTTCAACATTAACTAAATAAAAAATTCACTTATTAAAAGAAAGGCATTCAAATTCATAAAATGAGAAAAAACAAAAAGTATATTTATATAATTGTTAAAATCTTAAATAAAATTAAAGCAAATTGAAAAAAAACATAAATAATCTCTTAAAAAAATTTAAAAAAAAATTATTTAAACCTTACTGATAAGATAATTAAATAAAAAAAGTTATAGGATTAATTTAATTGTTTCTTTCAGTTTTGTTCATTAGAGTAATATGAAAACTTTACAAAACAAATTTTTTTAAAATATTATATATTATTAGTATTACCAGCGAGTAGCATTCATATGAAGATGTTCTTTAAAAGAAATATATTCTTGATAAACCGTATTGGCTTTAACCCTGCGAGTCCCAAATCTTCTCGATAAGACTTTCATAAATTCGCTTAAAAATTCTCTTTACAAAAAAAAGATTAAACTATACAAATAAGAATACAGAAAATAATAAAGCTACTTTGAAAATTTATCGATATATGTATGAGAATTTTCAGAAAATAAAACCATTTGACGTTGATGACTTTCCGACATTGTGTGGCATTTAAAGCCATTTTCATCACGACACTGTACGATATAAAATAAAGAGTGAATAAATAAAAGTAATAATAGTTACATAAAAACCTGTTTTTCGCACATTTGACAATACCATCTCAATTTTTGAAGTCCTTTCGACTTCATTCGATTAGCCAAGTATTTAGGAGTACCTTTTTCGGCTCTCGGCATTGTGAAAAAGCCTTCAAAAACTTATATATTAACTTTTATATTCACTATATAATACTAATAAACTAAATTAAAAATTCTATATTTTTATTGCTAAAGCATATATTATCGCACTGAATAGACGAAACGACCAATGTAAAAAAAGCTTGTCGTTGTGGGAAGCAGCGAAAGTTAAAGAGGGCTGAGCTTAAGGGGAGGGCAAAAAGAATAAACACTGACACGTTGCCCAAGTGGATAGCCTATCAAGTACAGCAGCACTGCTAAAAGTAAAGCAAAAATAGAATTTAAACCCCTTATGCAGAACAACAATTGTGCGTGATAAGGTAGAAAGATGCTCAATATCACTGCCTCTGAGTGCACTTTTTAAAATAAAAATTGTATAATAGTAACGTATTCGCTTTAGTGCTTCAAAGATGACGCACTGGGAAAAATTAGAAACATCAGAGGCTCTCGCTAAAGCCGTTTTATAAAATATTAGTAAGCTGTCTTTGCTTGAGAAGCAGGAAGTAGTAGAAGGGATAGAGTACAGCAAAGTTCTTGAACGCGTCATCTGCGAAATAGAAACGCTTCAGTTAGGTTTGAAACTTCGCACTGCTACGGCGGCACCTACAACTATGAAATAGCATTTGAGGTTACTAATGACAAAATCACTTTATCTTTTTTTTTGGCTTGTTTGGGAGAAACTAAAAAGCTTTGATGAACACCGAATAAGAGGCTGATGCGGAAAGAGAGATGATTTAAAGTAGTTTGAACCTTGTCAGCCAGAATTTGACAAACATCTTTAACGAAATGAATTACGCCAACACTGCTGCTTATCTTGGAAGGCGTTGCTCACAATGGAACACGCTCAAGCAAGATTTCTAGGCGTACTCATTGATGATTAAACAGTCAAAGCGGTACCCTACGCCATAGAACGACCCACACGCCCCTGCTTGGATAGTTGCAACCCAACAAACACCATCCTATAACCATATTATGGCTTCTATGCAATTTTTTTACAATCACCTACTCTTCTTAGGTGTTTATATTTATAAATCAATATATGTATTCAGAAGAAAATACTAAAAAGGCTCGTAAAAACTGAGTATGTAATGCGCACACAAATAATTTAATTTATTTGGTAACCTACGCAGTCCGCTCTCTGTTATACCGAGTATTTGCACAAGTCACTAGTAAATAAGTTAATAAATCGCAAACTAGATGTTGTACGGCGGATTTAAAAACAGATATGCAGCCTAGTTTAAAGGATATCAAGCAACTAAAAAAGTCATTGGTAGCAGGTAAAAGTAAAAAGGCCATTTAAACTGCTTTTTACTCAGGAAACTATTTTGGGGCCTAAATAGTTTAATAAGCGTTTTCTAAGCAAATCTCCAGAACAGCTAAAAGCAATAAGCAAAAATTTATTGCCCTTGGTGTGGTATGCTTTGAGTCCTGTATTTTCTAACCATATATATTTCATTAAAAATTGTTTATTCTTAATATATCTTTTCTCAGGCTGCCTACCTGAATAGTTAATTTAAAGAGCTTTAATATCTATAAAGCCTCAAGACCCTTTCTATTTTCTTTTATTTTTATTATTTGTCGTTTATATAACTTAAGTTTAATAACTACATTATTGAAATGTTTCAATCAGTTTAATAATGGAAACTAAGTACTTTACTTTTTATATATATTAGATAAACAGATTTAGCTCCTTATTGTTATGCCATAGGAGGCAGCAATATTTACCAAAAGATAGCGTTGTCAATTTAAGTGTCAACTCAAAATAGTGTTCACGAGCCAATCTAGCTTATAAAATGTAAAATCTTAGACAAATTGCTCATAAAGAAAACAAAAACTGCACTCTTTATACTCGTGATTCGTTAGCAATAAGTTAAGGTAAGTAGGTATAGTATTGCCGTAAATAATATATTTGCATATCTTTAAAACTTGCGAGTATTAAAAAAATTTCCTTTTAGTTAGAAAAGATGTATTTTCAAAACATGCGAGTTAAAGATTTTACAACTTAAACTTAAAAAACCTTCTCACTTTGGCGAAAATAGAACCGTTTAATAAAAATATAATATAGTTAAAAGTACCTTGCCATACTTTAGTAAAATACAGTACATTTTGGCCATTCTAGGTTGCACACAGTTTAACCAGGTAATCCAAGCCTATGGCTAAACTCTATAATTTAAACGCCGTACAATATTATAAATAATAGGAAGTTATAAAATTATTGTAAAGTTTATGTTCTTTTATTTTATATTTCTCAAAGCCGACTTAATAGCATTGTTTACTTTTTCTTCAACAAAACGAACTCTTATGTCGATAATAACTAGTGGGTTTTATATATCCATGACAACACGACCAGCTTATATTACTTGAACACTTAACAAACTTATGATATCGCGTGGCGAGGATGCAGTTACTGATAAAAGTTAAGTTTTTTAGTAAGCTCTTTGTTTTTTTGTTATAGACCAACCTTTTTACTTATAGAGTTATCTTTTTTGTTACTTTTAACATAAACTTTATAAATTAAAGGTAATTTAAAAAGTTTACTATATAATAAACTTTTCAGACTCTCACTGGTAAAGAACAGTCGATAGATGTGGAGCCCGCAGACACGGTAAAACATTTTTAACTATTTATAACTATTTTTTTTAAAAAAAAAAGAACCACTAGCTTGTAATAAGTTTAACTTAATTAATATTTAGAAGAACTCTGGAAATTTATGTAAAGGCTTATTTTGAAATCTTTTGTAGGTATTGCGAGTAAAAGAAGCCATTGAAGAGCGAGATGGTATACCTCCTAGGCAGCAAAGATTAATTTTTCGTGGAAATCAACTGTATAAATATATTAACGCTTATTATTAAGTGACCTGAAATTTGCTGTTTATAAATTTTTCATACCCATACGATAATACGAGAATATATAAATATTCTTCCGTTGTAAATTGTTTCAAGTTTTTTTTTAACGAAGTAATAAGTTACGAGTTTAAATCGTTTTAAAAATTTTAAAATCATGTAAATTTATTTGATTTATATTTTCAATTTACAGAAATGATGAGAAAACTTTAGAAGAATATAATATTAGCTCCGGCATGTGTTTGCATCTAATAGTTGCTCTGCGCGGCGGTGAATAACTAATTAAATATACCCTGCGAATACTTTCTTAAATAAATCTTTAATTAGCTTTAATACTTTTCTTTCTAATTTTTATTTTACAGAGAAAAAAATAATATAAACCATAAAAATATTGCTTCATTAACAAGTTAAATTAGCTATCTTTGATTGTTATAATAATGACACTTCAGTGGAGCGCGTAATTAAAGTGAAAACTTTTAAACTATTTATAAACATAAAAACTTACTTTAATCAGCTTTTAATAATTTCAAAAATATTAAATTTAAACTTTTGTATTAACCTTTTAAAATCCTTTAAAAAAATGATTTAACTCCTGTTTTTTAAATTAAATCAGCTAATTTAATAAAAATAATTCCAGTTTTATTAAAATCGGTTATAGTATTTCAGTTTTTCATGGCTCAGTCACGCTCTCTAAAATAATAAAATAGAAGTTAATTCATTTAATTAGATAATAATAAAAAATACCGCGGCCACGATACTTGAAGGACCAGATGGCCATACCCGTACCCTAAAAAAAAATATATTAATTATAATAAATAGCGCTTGCAAAACATCTAAGATGAACCATTCAGCGCTTTAATAGCTAAAGACGCTTCCTCACGGCGCGAAAACCCCACGTGGGCGTATCCCTTAAACTGCTGTGTCTCGCGATCACGTGCGAGAGTCAGCCGCTTGATGGTGCCAAAGTTTTTAAAAAGGAATTGAAGATCCGATTCTTTGGTTTCTTCAGGGAGATTGGACACGCGTACGGTCATCCCATCGTTTGCTTATAAATAATAATTAATATAATTAAATAGTACAAAAATAATTCATAAAATAAGAAATACAGCGGCAATCCCTTTCTCCAGGACGTCCGCCGCCTTCCATGGCCATCCTCCGAGCTGGCGGAATATAGATGCCCGGCTTAACTCCAACTGATTCAGGGGCTAGTAATAAAATATAATAAATTATATAATTGTACTATTAAAAATTTAAAAAGGCACGTTTGTGTTAAACCGTTTGAATTATATACAAAACTAAAAATTAAGTTGAAATTATTTTTCAAGGTTAGCTAAAATAAATAATAATAAATTTACGCAGATCTTTGACCGGAAAGTTACTTCTAACAGGACATTGACGAGTAAAATGGGGCCCTACATTTCAATAAAAAAAATTATTACTGAAAAAAAATAAATCCAAGTGGCTATAACCTTTACATATCGAGCAGGTTATTATTTGTTTCGTCTGCTGCTTCTTTAAATCTTTTGGAATTTCTTCATCAAGAGTCTATTTTCATAATTCAATAATATAATTTCAAAAAAATTCAAATAAAATTACTTCTGAACGAGAAGTTAAAAGCAAATAGACTTGATCCTCTTGAACATTAGTCGTGGTGAGGTTCACACCAGGTGCATGATTTTTACAGTCGCCAAATTTTTTCCAGTTCTAGAAACAAGTTAAACATAAATCGCTTGGCAAAGTTATAAACATACTCTTCTTTCCAAAATGCCTGAGGTCACCAGTTCCTTCTTTTTATTAATTTTATATACACTAACAATCTGAATATTACATAAATACTACATGCCGAGAGTACAAAGAAGATATAAAATACTTTCTCTTTTTTTCCTGTCTTTTCATTGATTATAAAATCGGTAACAGTTTTTATATCCTCATATATTTCGACATGAGGACCTTAAATGGCTTAGTAAAATTACTACAACGAAGAGAAAGCTAATAGATTTTACCTTCTTCCTCATCAACAATATCACCCCAAGCGTTCCTAGATCAAGTAAATTTAAAAATTCTCTTTAATATAAAGAAATAACTAAATACAACAACAAAACCATTTACGCAATAACAAAATATTATAAACAGAACTGTTCTCCTGGCATTGCTTGTAACCCTCGCCGTCGCTGGAACACAGAAGTAAACTATTTAGTTATTGACCTTCACGTGCACCTTGAGTTTTGCAGGGGCCATATGGTATTTACAAAATATACTAATACATGAGAGTTGTTGCTGTAGCTCGGTGGTTTATTGTGCTGGCACGATTAGAAGGTGGCGGAATTTGGGTTGGTAAAAATAAAAACTGAGGGAAGGGGAGGTGGAGAGAAGTCGCGTTTACGTTCAGAAAGCGGAAGTTATTTTTAGCTAAAAAAAAAATAGTTGTAAAATGCAAAGAAACTGGTAGCCCTTAAAAGGAAGAGCAACAATTGTATTTTTCTACTTTAGTACTTAATAAATATTATAAAGCTTAAACACTCCAAAATTAATTAACCGCAGATAAAGGGGACAATTTACAACTTTTACTTCAAGACTCGACGACTTAATCGTCGTTCAGGAGGTTTAAGCTTAGGTCAATAACCTTCAACCAATGACTCATTTACCCCGACTAATTCTTTATTTAACTGTTAATTGCAATAATAAGACGCAGTCAAATTAACTAAACCTCTTTGCTTCTTCCTCGTATATGTAAGTGCGTCAGATTTAGTTTATTAAGTACTAATAAAGGAGGGCTTCACAAAGTTCAGCTCAACAATAGAATGCCAAGAATGAAAGTGCTTTCCTTATTCGTCATGGTCCGGACTTAGAGCCCTTTGAGTTCTATGTTAAATACTCATTTTAGCAAAAAAAATTTCGGCAATTGAGGAGTGTATTCCTTCGTCGTTAGAAGCTAAAATCACGATGTAGCTGGGCCTATGATATACCCATGGAGGGTTCGTAAATATAAGAAGCAATTGGTTTTAATAAAGCTGCAATCTTAAAGGAACTTTGTGTGACAGTAAATTCACGAAGGCAAGGCATAGACCAGTATTAAGCGAATAAACATTATAAACAAAAATTATGTTTTCTTAAACTAAAATAGTTTTTTCTGCGTAAACATATACAGAACAATTTAAAAACTCGATTTTCTTCTTAAATAGTGTAGTTAACATGGTAATTCCATTTTAATTTAGTATCTGTTACTTCTCAAAACGCTTAGCTTCAGAGAAAACAGGAAATTTTCGGTGCTATAATTAAGCAATCCTTTATATGGTGGATTGCGTATTCTAAAACCAATAGACTTTAAATTTTAAACTGCTTAACTTTTTATTACAGAATTTTTTACTAAACATATAAAAAATAGGTATTAATATCTGGAAACTTAGCATTAATGTTTATAAAATTGAGGTTAAAATATTGCTTCATCATCTGTAAAAAGCGTAAGTCCGTGCTTAGGTGACCAATAAAGTCAGACATGTAGATTGAGCAGAGAGTAGGAATTAGAGTAAAGTTCTGTGGAATAATGAGCACAGATTACTGGTGAGAGATGAAGATTAGCATTAAGGCACATTTTCTATTGAGCAAAAATGATGAAATTAAAAGCCTTCTCAATCATCCGGTAGGACCAGGCCTGTTGCTCTATAACAATAAAATTCTCGTGGCAAATATACCATAACGGTGGAGCTAAAATAGAGTGGAATGCTTTTTTTTTTCAAAATATACTCGTTGAATTACATTATGACCAGTATATTAAAATTATTAAATTATAACAGTTAAAATTAATGTTTGCTAAGAATACTATACCAGGTCTAGATGGCCACCTAATGATGGTGTTAAAATTTCATTTAACATGGAGCCTTTACTCTGTTTAACTTTATAATATAATAGCCTTTAAATCTTCGATGGTTACCGGGGAAAGACGGGAGGATTGCTTTTTAACGGGTAACTCTTTATCTTACTGTTACATCTCAACGTACGTAGGAATTAACGTTTATAAAAAAAAAAATTTTAAAGCCTGTCGGAAGAATTTATTGAGAGAATTTAAGGTTCAGTATATACGCCTTTGTTTCACTTTGAGTTTAAAAAACAATTTAAGTTCAGGCTTTATTGTCAATGGACATAAAGAACTATTTTTAGCTTTTTTTGATATGATCTTTTTTGCGTAGTGGGAAACCTATTAATATCTACTATATTAAGATAATAAAGATTGTTGACACAGCCCTTATATGTGCTTATCAAGCTATTTCGGGCTCAATACTCGGCAGAATTCAAACGGCGCCTCCAATAAAGAACAGATGAGTGAAGATAGTGCTAAGGCTGTCAACTAGTTTATTAGCCGTCAACGAGTTTGAGCTTGAATGCTGTTCTTAAAAGCTTAAACAAATTCCATTTTTTTTTAATTTATTTTATAAGAAATTTTTTTTTTAATAAAGTCTTTCCTTCCTTAACAGTATTTGCCTTTAAAATTTAATTTCTGTTGATCATATATATACATATCACAAGTGTATATTGACAACCTTTTGTAACAAACCCACAACTAGAGATTAGTTTTAAATATAAGCGAAAAATAGATACAACCTCATAAGAGGGCATGTGATTTTGGTTCGGTTTTACAATTTTAGAAAATCTTGGAAGTCTAGTTTCCAAAACACACAAATTATTCGCATTCTGATTGATAATTCTATATTATTATTATATAAACAAAGATTTTTTTTTTGAGCCGACTTAACAAATTTTGCAGACCTCTAATGGTCTTCTGCTTAAACTGCAAAACTATAAGTCATGGTAAGTTAATAAACACTACTAGCAAAATAAAAGAGGCGACACATTTTTACGTATTACGAAACCCATACTTTCAAAGGCTGTGACTATGAGAACCTGTCACGCAGGCGCCAGTCTTTTTTTAATAAAAAGAGTAAATATTCTCCAGCTAGAAATAGCAAGAAACCAATAGTTTGAACAAAACTAATAATTAGCTTCGCGGAGAAAACCCTAAATTGGTTATAAAAATTCCGTTTGTTTATAAATTGCAACGCTGGGCAACTTAGATTATAACTTTCTAAAAAAATCCTAAAGCCTGACAATACTCTTTTACTATCTTTTCCAAAGCAAATTTTTTGCTTAAAATTTTTTCATCGATTAGAAAAGCAACAAAGCTTCAATATGTAATTTTTTTTAAGGTCTTGTAAAACCACCTCAGCGGAAAGCCCCTGCAAAATACGAGCATATTTCTTTTAAGGAATACGTTCTTGAGTGTTTGCGAAGCCTTTCATAATCAGGAACTTTTCAAGTGTTAGTTTCGATTTTACTAATTTCCGAAAACTGGTCTGTTCATTGCGCGCACAGCACTTATATGCGTGCTTACTGTAGTTACAGTTGTAGTCGCCTCTAATTTACAGTAGAAAATAATATTTCTATTTTTTGGTGTTAGTTATCGTATTGTATTATATAAAATTATAATTTAAACACAGGATAATAAAGTTTAAATAGAAAGTGATGAGCTGCAGCAGTTTTAAGCACACTTTGTACTTTTCTATAGTCGTTATGTAAATAATGGATAATAAAGTTATAATATTATTTTGCATATTTGAGGGAGCCCACCGTTACGGGGACTTCAGTCGTTGGAATAAAGTATACGAATGGTGTAATGGTTGCTGCAGACTGTTTAGGTTTCTTTCTTTTTATTACGTACTTTTACTTTTTTTACTTTTTACTCTTCTCTCATTAGGTTCTTACGGCTCACTTGCCCGTTACCAATCTATATCACGCATATATAAGATGAACGATCAGGTCGTCGTTGCAGCCTCTGGAGATTATGCTGATTTTCAATATATAAAGCAAACATTAGAAGAATTACAGTATTACCTAGCTAACTTACCAGTTTTTCTTTTAGTTAAATATCAATTTTTTATTTGTAGAGAAAGTAACGATAGTTTGCAGGACAAACACAAACTTACGGCCAAAGCAGTTTTTAGCTACTTAACTCGGCTTATGTACAATCGACGCAGCAATTTCAATCCTTTGTGGAATAATTTTGTGGTTGCTGGTGTGGACGACAACAAAATTTCGTACTTAGTTATTAACTAATTTTCTTAAAGTCAAGCTATGCCTCGATTATAAGCAATTAATTTATATTTTTTTAATTAAGCTTTGACGATTATACAGTACTTTAGGAGCTGTTGATTTACTAGGACTGGCCTTTGAAGATGACACTGTAGGAACAGGATTTGGTGCTTACTTGGCTTTGCCTTTACTGAGGTTTTCTTTAAGGCCAGAAAAGCGCTTTGTTCACTTATTAACTTTTAATTTATTCATAGTTATCTATACTTAGAGTAGGATTTAATTTATTGTTTAATTTTACTTTTTTAAGAGAGCAGTACGAAAAAAATCCAAATATGACGGAAGAAGAAGCTCGAAAATGTCTAGAGGACTCACTTCGCATTTTACACTATCGCGATGCTCGTTCTTCAAATAAGGTAATTTTTTTCATGTGCTTTTAAGTTTTGCTTTAATTAAGTTTTTTTTTTAAGATTGAGATTGTAAAGATTACCCCTGAAGGCGTAACATTATCCGACCCTTATACTTTAGAAACCAATTGGGAAATTGCAGACCTCGTGTCTGGTTATGAATAATTTTAGCAAGTATTAAATAAAACAAAAACTTTTATTATTATTAATGTTGCTGAGCGTATTTTCTTGCAAGATTCTTGAATCTGCATATACTTAAGAAGTGGTTTTGTGTAGGCTTTTTCAGCTTATAGTGCAGTTCCTACAGGAGATCGCAACTTTCTTGCCGTCAAAGATTTAATTAAAAGTTTTCAAGTTGATTTTTTATTAAAAATAACGAGGTATGAAAATTTTATTAAAAAATGCAAATTTAAATACTTTAGTTAAAAATTTTATTAAAATTTATAAAAGTATTTCATAATAAAAAAAATTAATCGACAGTTGTTTGATGCAAGCACGCTATGCGCTCTAAGAAAGTTATTTTATTTAAAACTAGTTCATTAGAAACATTAAAAAAATACGACGAAATCCGAGTTTATCTTATTTATTAAAAACAGATACAGTTTCTTGTGCCATTATTCCACTGCGGTGTTAATATAGACATCTTTTAATATAAAGATAAAATTAATAAAGGAAAAGATTTATAATTTTAATAATAAGTATGCATCTGTCTTTATTTACTTTATAAAAAGCAATTTTGTAATAGTTAGTTAAGTAATTATCAAAAAATATATATTTCAGAGTTATATAATAAACTGTGTAAAAGTATTAAAACAGTAAGTTTGGGCTAAGTTACTTTAATTAAGTGTGTACCGCGGTTTTACACTTACTCTTATTATACAGTAAAAAAAGACATTAAGTAAGGCCAAAGGTAGAACACTTCAGTTAGAGTTTAATAAACCCTTTTAATTATTAACTTAAAAATCAGAACTCAAAAGTCAACATATAGTTATGAAAGAATTTAACTATTGAGTTCTACTCAAAAATGGATTGTGAATCCTAATTATTAGTTTATTAAAAGAAAACCACAGTTAACAAAAAAAATATTATTTCACTTTTGACTAACAATATTGAAAAAGGATAAAGCAATGGACTTTAGGTATCCTATATATAATAACTGTAAAAAATTCCACTAAGACAATCGTAATAAGCCTAAATTCCTAACAAAAATTTAACGAAGCAAACAAACCTACCAGGCAGCGCTACTTTATAACTAATATGAGTTACAGAAGTTGTGAGGTACTAACCACTTCGACTTTACACGTGAAGGGATGATTTCATGAAATTTCTGTAGTCTTTTTACTCGATCATATATTTTTCTTAAAAGCAATTTTATATGTTGTATTATGGCTAAATTAGCTTCGAATGAAGTTTCTAACCCAAAAGGAATTCGTTGTAAAGCAAAAAGACTTGTTCTCTATAAGAAATATAAAGCAGCTAAAAGTAAAGTTAAGAAAGCTAAAAAAGCGGAACATAAAAGGCTAGTAAATTTGGGTAAAAAACTACCTTGAAAACCCCTCGTACCATTGACTCAGCAAGAGAAGCTGATGCAACTATAGTTGATCCTAACGACTTGGAAGTATTTTAGTTACTAGTCTTTACTTTAAAAAAGGTCAATCTCCTTTTTTTTAAGATCACTGCGGAGCTTGCTAGTGATGAATTGTCATCTTACTTTTCCGGCTCTAAAACTCCAAAAATTTTAATAACGACTAGCAAGAAGCCAGTCGGAGTTTGTTTGTTTATAGATTTTATAATTGTAACTTTCTTATATATAATCTTTGAAGGTTACGTATAAATTTATAAAAGAATTTACAAAGCTCATTCCTGGCGCAGAACACTATAGAAGAAGAAATTACGATATTAAAGAAATTTGTAAATACGCAAGTTTGAGGTTTTCTGTTTATTTATTTTTACAATTTTATATAAATATATTATATTATAATTTTGCAGAGACTTTACTGACCTTATAGTTATTAACGAGGATGCGAAAACATGCAACGCCTTAACTTTGGTGCATCTCCCTCACGGTCCTACTGCATATTTTAAACTGAGTGGCATTGTTTTAACTAAAGAAATAATGGTTATTACTTTACAATAAAAAAATTTTCTATATAATTAAAATTGTCATTGTTTATACTTTTTCTTTATTTTCCTTTAAAGAATCACGCTTGCTTTACATCACATCCTCCTGAGCTTATTCTCAACGGCTTTTCTACTCGAATTGGACTGCAAGTTGGAAGAATGCTAGCTGCTTTGTTTCCTCAAAGACCCGATTTCATAGGCAGGCGCGTCGTCACTTTCCATAATCAACGGGATTACATTTTTTTTAGAAATCATAGGTTATTATTTTATTTAAGGGCTTTAAATAAACATTTATCTATGTTAAGCTACTGTACTTCAGATATATTTTTCGAGACGAAAAGCGTGTAGGTTTACAGGAAATCGGCCCGCGATTTACTTTGAAGTTGCGATCTTTGCAACATGGCACTTTTGATTCAAAGTTTGGCGAATATGAATGGATTCGAGTCTTTTTCTGATTCTTTCTCACTTTTCTACTAATTTTATTTTTTAATTTGTAACATTTTCTATTAGAGAGACAAAATGGATGCGAGCCGAAGAAAATTTTACTTGTAATTTTTGTATTTAAAAAGTTGATAAATAGAAGTTCTGAGGGAGCAAAAAATGAAGAAATACTGATTAGTTAACTTAAGAAGTTTTATATAAATTATTATAAAAATTTTGGTTTTTTAAAATGAGCTATATTATTTTTATTGTTGCGTTGTATTGTTAAAAAAGAATTTGTTAAACTTTCCTTGTAAGATTTAATTAAATTATAGAATAGTTCGAAGCTTATAATTAAAAAAAAAATCTCTCTTTTATTAGACTTTTGGAAGGTTTTCTAGTTAGAATTGAGCAGTTTAAAAACGCTTCAGGCATCTATTATCTTGTTAGACAATAAAGTCAATTTGCAGAGATACAACTTGAGAATTTATTTATGAGAAATAAAAAAGTAGCGTGTTCATCTTTATTATTTTCCTTTTATTTTGTTTTTAAGCAGTTCCTAGTTAATTAATTAGTTGTATACTGTTTTTATGTTTATTTAACGTTTAGGTCACTCGTTATCTTTGGTAGCAGTATTTTTTATTTTGATACCAATTTTAACTAAAACATTTAGCATAAAACCAAGTTCTTTTTGTATATTTTCCATGTTATTAGCAAATTAACCAAATTCAATAAATAAAAGAAAAAAACTAATTATTGCGTAAATATGAAGCTTTACGTGGTGCAACCGGTAGGGCCATATAGAGAAAGAGCAATTTTTCTTATGTAGAAAAACTTGTTGACCCTGTCAAGGGCCTGAAAAGGCATATCACGTTAGACAACTGATTTTTAGCGATCTATTGAAGTATTAAATAATTACCATCTTACCTGTTTAAGCAAGGAATAAAGAAAAAAAAGATAGAGCAATGTATAGTTCACTATTTGCATTTTAAGCTCAAAGTACGACTGTATAATACAACACTCCTAAAGAAATGAAAATGTAATTCTGTTCTCTGCACTACCTCACACTAAAGAAGCAACTTTCATAAATAAGAGAATAACATTAGTAAGGGAGGGTTGTATTCGCCGTAGGACTACCTGCGAATTATAGTATTGCAAGAAATAGAGGACGGCAAACAATGGCACTTTATTACTCTTTCCTCAACACTGGAAGGTGTAAATGCGCAGATAATATACTATACAACTATTAAATATTACGGTATTAAAAGGCATTAATATTTGAAATAATTAGGTATGTCGATGATAAAGAAAGAAATAGGATAGAGTAACCCTAGTATTCGTCGCGGTTTACGCCAGGACGTGCCATGGATACTTAAAGAATCTCAGGTTACGGGGCAGAAAACAAGTTTTAGATGTTTAAAAAGTCCTCGGCAAAGACAGAAACTAGGGTTTTCGTCCTACTGAGGTTAAAAGAAAGAGGATCAAGGTAGAACACCCTGCTGCCCTTAGTTTTAGTTAAAGTACTCAAAAGTGAAAGTAATATTGATAATGTTGAAAATAATGGTATTCATCTTCGTTGAACTTTTTAAAATGAATGGCAGAACTGGAGAATGCTTTCGCTGCCAATTATATGGCCACCCCGAGAATTTCTGTACCATTAAGCATCGTTGCGTTTTATGCGGTGAAAATCATGATTTTAAAACGTGGCTGAAAAGAAAAGACGAGAAACCAACATGTGTCAAACTGCAAGCGCGTACACCCTGCTAGCTATCGAGTTGCCTTTATCACCCACTGACGAAAAAAAGAGGAGAAATCATTTCATTGTCCCGTAGAGAAATGGTATTTATACCACCAGGGGAAGAAATACAAGATTTACAAAAAAATATGGGACAGACGTAGAAACACGTGGGTGGGCACGCGGTATAATAAACACATGGTATGTGTACCACGGGTTATGAGCACGTGATTTATAAGTTAACTCCAACACCCTAAAGATACACCTTTTAAAAAAAACCTATTGAATACCGGTTAGTCGCTTCACACACTAGACGATGTAGTTACATTAAACAAAACCTATGAGCAGGCG